GTCCTGCGCTTCACTTTGTTTAGGGAGGGGCTGCTCACTGCTCATTGCTCATTGCTCATCGCACACTGCTCAACGCTCATTGCCCTATATCCCACCCAGCCGCAGGACTCTACTGCCGCCCGCGCCCCGCCCCATCTGGCCGCTTGCCCGCCCCATCCCCCCTCGATGGGGCCCGCCCACACCGGGGCCTCCCCCCTCCCGCCCACTGCTTTCTCAACGGCCTCGAGCCGGGGCTGCCCTCATTGCATACATAGTGCGCCTTTCCCTGCTTTTCTAGTGACCTAGCGTTCCGCACTGCCGTTTGGCCAGCCCATGCTCCCGTACCGTTGCGTTTCTCCCCAATGCGCCATGCCACTTTGCCAGTCATACACACGTTTCGATGCGTGCCCTGTCAGCTGCTTGCGTTGCATGTCGCCTTGCTCCACCCCTGTTTTATTGCTTTCTCTGCTTTCGCCCGGTTCCCGTCCCGTTTCGGCGGGGAGTCTATGTTGCAAGCTAGTTCTTGCTTTACCAGACTTTAAGCCCACACAAGCATGGCCAGCAGTACCGATAAAGTTGTCCTGCAGTGCCTGACTGCCAGCGGGGGCGAGCAGCTGGGTGTGGCGCTTGATGCAATGCTCAGCAGCATGCCCAGTCTGCAAGACGCCACTGTCATCAGCTGCGACCTGTCCCAGGGCCTGCCCAACAGCCTTGTTCAGTGCAGCAGCCTTCAGTCTCTGGCTTGCATTGATTGCCAGCTGACTGCTTTGCCTCTGGGGCCTTATGTTCAAGGTATGTGATGGGGTCGGAATGTGTGCACGTGCCTGCTTCCCCCCGGTATCACTCCACACACCCAAAGAGCATTGCAGGCCTCCGGACGCTTGTGCTTACTGGCACCAAGCTGTCGGCACTGCCAAAGTCGCTGGCATGCGCCATGCTGCTGCGCGGCATGGATTTGCGCGACAACCCCGCCCTTGTTTTGACCTGCTCGGACGTTGTGCACATTCTGGGACGCATGCCACAACTTACAGGTCTCCTCCTGTCTCCAGACAGCCTATCAGGGTCAGCGGCAGCCTTGATGGCAGTGCGGATGCCCCTTGTGGCCATCCCGCTTTTTATGGCAATTCCCCTGGGAATGAGAGTGGCTTCACCTGGGCGCATTTTCACCGTGCTGAAGCATATCACATTTTGGTTTTTATTCACCGTAAATGTGGCCCGCGCTCATCTAACGATGTTAAACTGGAGCGGCTTGATGGAATGGAGGCCCGCTTCTGGCTTGCTGGCGCAGCAGTCCTACGCTGGCCTTGCCATTGATATCATATGGATAAATCTAATGATTCATTTACTCATCGGACACTATCTGCGTCGCTAGTTTCACTGAAGGCTGGAACACACAAATATGCATGAAGAACGGCACCGTCTGGAGCGGTTTTTTTTCACGGCTATGTGAGCTCACGCAGTAGCAGAGAGTGCACCAACAGTCGGCGGTCGGGAGTGACAGCCGGTGCCCTGCGGGGTGTGTATGCCAGCGATCGGGCTTGCATGCACGCCAAACAACCCAGGGCACGGACCTCCCACCGCCAGAGGGGGAGAGAGGCTGGTCCCGCCGTGCCCGGCCACTCAGGCCACTGCCCCCTCCAACCCAGCAGCTAGCCCTGCGGGCACTGCTTCCCACGCACCCCAGACCGTGTTTCTCAACACCAGGGGCCAGAATCAGCCCGCCCAGACCCCCACAGGCCGGTCCCCGAGGCCAGCCCACGTGTTGCCACCCCCCAAAGCGCACAGCCGCCTGCACAGCTCTCACTCGGCCACAGAGTGCCCCTCTCCACACCCGGAAACCATCAGTGAAGGCCAGAGCCAGCCTGCGGGCGCCCCCCGAGCAGGAAAGCGACCATCAATGCCCTCCCCCAGGTCCGCCCAGGCCCTCACACTGAACTCTGTGCTCACAGGAGCACCCCCTGCACTAGGCGCGCCAGCCCGGGGCCAGCCAGCTGATGCCCAGGGCGCCGGCCCTACGCTGCAAGTTCAAAAAACTCTTTGCTTTGAAACTCCCTCTCAGCGCATCTCCCACCATCACCCTGCCCACCTCCTGGATGCTCGCAGCAAGATGGTGGACCCCGCGGTGCCATACTCTCTGGTGCTGGCCGACGCGGCCGCCGCCAACCCGCTTGCCGCTGGCGGCAACGGCAGCAGCGCCTGCGAGGGCGCTGCTGACTTCGTGATGGCCGACAACCCAGCCTATGAACGCGGCTCTGCCCGCCGCGGCGACGAGAACATGCCGCAGGCTGTTACGGCTGGGGTCAAGCGCTCCATGGGCGGTCGCTCGCCCGGGGCAACTCCGGAGACGAGGAAGAGTGAGCATGCCGCCCCGCCGCATCACCCGCCCTGGCGCAGCAACCAGCATGCACCCCGCCCAGGCCAGCGGCGCGCCTTGCCAGCACTGCATCGCTGGGTGCTGCTGCTCCTCATGCTTTCGGTGATGGCTAGCGCAACCCTGCCCGGCCCGGGCCTGCCATGCTCCCACAGGCATGCCGCCTGCGCTTGGACTGCGCATTCTGGCAGAACCTCCCCCGCCTCCCAATCCCAGGGCACCCTGTCTGACCCCACGCCCCCCACTTGCTCCTTGCTACCTGCAGCGAGCAAGGCGCACCGCCGCGAGGCGGCAGCCAAGGCTGCCGCCAAGGCCGCCGCCAAGGAAGCGGACCTCGCCGCTGCCAACGAGGCGACGATGCTGGAGCTCTCCCGCCTGCGCCCGGCGCGTGCTGCCAAGGCTGCACAGAGCGGTGAGCCGCCAACTTATTTGCCCAGCCGACCGGCAGCAGCCCCGCTTTGCTGCGAGATGCACCAACAGCCCACCCCCCCATGCCAGCTG